GGACCAGATCCAGAGGCTGCCCCTGCCCTAAACTCTGGCTCAACATTCCCATTATCTGGTTCCTGGTTTGTTGCCAGGAATTGCCAAGCACAAATGGATGGAGCTCATTTGAGCTGGGTTTGCAATGGGATGAGCTTCACTTTTTGGCTTGTTTTGCTTTTTTATTTATTTATTTATGTTTAATATCTTGTGAGAATTGTCTACTTGCCTCCACCTAGGAGCTGGACCTGCTGCTGGCTGCTTCCTGGGCAGAGGGCAGTTCAGTGCTAGGACAGGCAGGAAGCTGCCTTAGCACCCCTGCTGTTCACCTGGACACCCTACAGCAAGGCCACCCAGTGCCTGACTTTCCACAACCCAGTCCTGGGTTGTGACCCATACTTTGAAAATTACTGACTTATTGTGTGTAGTTCAGTCACACCCTATGGACCCCAGTCAGACTAGGATTCTATTACGCTTCAAAAAGACAGCACACACCCAAAGCAGCTTACCATGGCACATAAGACAATAGATTGGATACAACAAACAGATGGGGGAATACAAGGGGATATGCTGTATCTATTTTAAATTGCATTATTATTTATATTACAGTACTGGAAATTCCTTATCTGCATTTAATTGGCTGAATGCCTGAAGCCCCCTCCTTCCGGTGCATCTCCAGAGTTGCTTAACCCTTTCCTCACTCTACAGGTAAGTCAGACTCTCCTTAGCAGCTCCTATTCACGGCAGACCTTAAATACCTTGCTTCTATAGGCTTCAGCTTAAAACTCCCCAAGGTCACCACCAAGTGAAAACCTCCTTCTTCGTTGACCCAGGAAGAAACACTTGAACTTCTTCCAGAGGGGTACCCCCAACTCTTTTACCACAAGAGAGCTCGAAGGGAAAAAAAAGAAAACAAACTGTGTCTCTGATAGCTGACTTCTCAGGCTAGGCAGGCACACGCAGACCTGTTTCCTTCCAGGGCACACAAATCAAATCACCACCTTAAAGGTGATTTTTATTAACAAAACAAAAAGGTGTACTTGACAAAGCATACTTGGTTGCTGGGTGTTACAGAGCAACTGAGAAAAGAACAGATTAAAACACAGAAATTGTATCTCCGGGATCCAGTTTATAAAACACAGTGTATGGGGGAAGGGGAAGGCACATGGGCTTAGCACAGAGAAATTTAGCCAAACAAAGAAAATAATCTGATGTGACTAAATAGACATTTTTCTATCTACTTACAATCCGTGTTTCAAGGTCCAGTCCATTTCCATGCCCGGTATTGTTTGTAGGCATGGTATTTCTTCTTAGTTCAATACATCTTGTTGACCCAAAAGTTGGCTTTAAAAAAAAAAAAAAAAAAAACCTCTCACCAAAAAAACCCCAAAACAGCAGGCAGGTGTATTTTCCAATTCAAATTTCAACACCCTCTCCCATTGGTTCTCTTGGCTCCCTGCCAACACCCTTGCTAGCTACCTGAGTTTAACTGTTACACCTCATTCCAGGAGGATTAACAGTTAATTCGAACTAAGTTCGAATTGCCATTTCACTGCCGCGTGTAGCCATGGGCAGTTACTTCGAGCTAGTGGAATTTCAAAGTGGCGACCAGATGGGAACATGCAAATAAAGCCCGGGATATTTAAATCCCAGGCTTCATTTGCAAGTTCGAATGCCTACATTAGCCTCCCTAGTTTGAACTAGGGAGCTAGTGTAGACATACCTTGAATGCTGGCCAGCGTTCCTCCTGTCCATCACAGCCCTGTATAAAGGTTCAGCAATGTCTCCTGTGTAGATGCACTATGCTGGGCAGGAAGAGTTCTCCTGCCAGCATAATGAAATCATCCCCAATGAGCAGCAGTAGCTATGTAAGTGGGAGACACTCCCCCACTGATGTGGCACTGTCCACACTAGGGGTGTAAGATCCTGTTTAATTAGTTAACTGGTTAAACCTTACATTTAACCAGTTAACTGATTAAATGGGGAAGCAGGCAGGGGCTCTCCAGCTGGCCTGGAGTGACCCTGCCTGTGGGGCTGGAGCCAGCCCCCTGCCCATGATGGGCAGGGGGCTGCTCCAGCTCCCACCAGTTAACTGGAACCTCCCTAGTCCACACCAGTGCTTTTGTTGGTGAAACGTTAATCTATCAGGGATGTGAAAAAAAACGCACCCCCTGACTGAAAAAAGCTTTGCCAACATAAGTACTAGTGTAGACCAAGCCTTTAAGTCTTTTGACAGGCAAGGTCTGTCTACTGGAAATGGTAAGGCTAAATAAACCACATTCCATATTGAAATTTATAACAAACAGGGATTCATTTAAAATATGATAGTGTCCATGATGCAGCACTGTAAATTACTTTTTCCCTCTGATTCCTCTCACTTTCCCTTCTGATGAAGTCACAGGAAATCTGTCTTTAGTTGTCACTAAAATTCCTTGACTTGATCCCTGCTGGCTTTGCCTGACTAAAGTTCCCTTTTGTTTCAAAGTCGTGCCTACTAAAGATAAAGGTTGTGCACTTAGCCCTTCACTCTGTTGAAGTCAGTGGGAGTCTTTCCTTTGATTTTTACTTTTGGATTGCCCCAAAGCATTACATTTCTGACTGGCATCTTTCTACTCAAAAGATATTTTGAGTGTTGGCAAAAAATGAAGATGTTAAGAAAAGTAGTAAGCATTTTGGCTAGAGTTTGTATCTAATCAAACCTGCAAACTGAGCACCCACAGAAATTCACCCCCATCTTGAGGGCCACACCATGCACCCCTCACCTTATTCTGAGGGCTTACGTTTCGCTTTGCTCTTGCTTACAGTGGTGCCTGTACATTTGTTCATATACGTGCTCTCTGTTTTAAGCAGTATATGATGTAAGAACTAAACAGCCTTTGGTAAATTAGTTCCTACAGGAATGGTGGAAGCTGAGTTCAAGTAAGTCTTGGCTTGACAAAGCCCTGGCTGGGTTGATTTAATTGGGATTGGTCCTGCCTTGGGCAGGGGGCTGGACTTGATGGACTTCTAAGGTCTCTTCCAGCTCAGTCTATGATTCGAGGTGGTGCATGAAACCAATGCACTTTTCTCCCCCCTTCCCCCCCCCCTTTAGGTTTTAAGGTGAATGTGAAGAATTTGTGCTGAGGTTTCAGTGTAGAATGAGCCAAATGTTTTTGTTTCGTTTGATTTGTAACCTACTTTGCTCTGCCTGTTCTCACTTATCACCACTTAAACCCTACTGCTTGTACTTCATAGAATTATAGAATCCTAGAGCTGGAAGAGCCCTCAGGAGGTCATCAAGTCCAGCCCCCTGCCCAAAGCAGGACCAATCGTTTGATTTGTAACCTACTTTGCTCTGCCTGTTCTCACTTATCACCACTTAAACCCTACTGCTTGTACTTCATAGAATCCCAGGGCTGGAAGAGACCTCAGGAGGTCATCAAGTCCAGCCCCCTGCCCAAGGCAGGACCAATCCCAACTAAATCAACCCAGCCAGGGCTTGGTCAAGCTGGGACTTAAATACCTCGAGGGCTGGAAATTTGGAATAAACAGGGATGTTGTGGAATCTCCATCATTGGAGATTTTTAAGAACAGGTTAGGTAAACACCCCCGAGGAGTGTTGTAGTTATTATGTAGTCCTGCCTTGAGTCCAGTTGACTGGTGTCATATAAGAAGCCATATGCGGGGCCTGCAGCTCAGCAGTCTGGGATGGAAGTTTCCATCCTTGAAGTACACAGCCTTGGACCCTGCAAATGCAAACACCAGATGGCCCTTATCGGCCGCAGCCCCTGCACCTCAGCTGGGAATGTAGTGAGGAATAAGTCAACCTTGATCTTAACTTCATGAGAATGCTAAACGTGGTGTGGGGCCAGCATGCGCACAACCCGGTAAACAACTGATATAACTAGTGTAGGGAGTCCTGTGCCTGCTGAGTTTCACCAGGGACTTAGACCTCAGAGGATACGCTGGGTTACTCCAGCTGGAGCCACATGAACCATGGCCCTTGTAACGAGGATCAGGGACCAGACTCCCCGCAGTAGAAGGGAGGTAAACATTCCAAGCGCCTTTTACTCTTACGTGCTTTGTTTCGGTCTTCACCGAGAAGTCTGGAGGTGTGCCTAACGTAGTGAATACAAGCAGAGAGAGGGTAAGTTTAGAAGATAGGATACACAAAGAACAAGTTAAAAATCACTTAGGAAAGTTAGATGTCAGCAAGTCACCAGGTCCTGATGAAATGCATCCCAGGATACTCAAGGAGCTGATAGAGGAGGTACCTGAGCCTTTAGCTATGATCTTTGAAAAATCATGGAAGACAGGGGAGATACCAGAAGACTGGAAAAGGGCAAATATTGTGCCCATCTATAAAAAGGGGAATAAGAACAACCCAGGAAACTACAGACCGGTCAGTTTAACGTCTGTCCCAGGGAAGATAATGGAGCAGGTAATTAAGGAAATCATATGCAAACACTTGGAAGGTAATAAAGTGATAGGGAATAGCCAGCATGGGTTTGTGAAGAACAAGTCATGCCAAACTAATCTGATAGCTTTCTTTGATAAGATAACGAGCCTTGTGGATAAGGGAGAAGCGGTGGATGTCATATACCTAGACTTTAGTAAGGCATTTGATACGGTCTCGCATGATATTCTTATTGATAAACTAGGCAAATATAACTTAGATAGGGCCACGATAAGGTGGGTGCATAATTGGCTGGATAACCGTAGTCAGAGAGTTGTTGTTAACGGTTCTAAATCCTGCTGGAAAGGGATAACAAGTGGAGTTCCGCAAGGGTCTGTTTTGGGACCCGTACTGTTCAATATCTTCATCAATGATGTAGATATTGGGATAGAGAGTACGCTTATTAAGTTTGCAGATGATACCAAACTGGGTGGGGTTGCAACTTCTTTGGAGGATAGGGACATAATTCAAAATGACCTTAGCAAGTTAGAGAAATGGTCAGAGGTAAACAGGATGAGGTTTAATAAAGAGAAATGCAAAGTGCTCCACTTAGGAAGGAACAATCAGTTCCATACATACAAGATGGGAAGCGACTGTCTAGGAAGGAGCATGGCAGAAAGGGATCTAGGGGTCATAGTGGACCACAAGTTGAATATGAGTCAACAGTGTGATGCTGTTGCAAAAAAAGCAAATATGATTCTAGGTTGTATCAACAGGTGTGTTGTAAGCAAAACTCGTGAAGTCATTCTGCCGCTCTACTCTGCACTAGTTAGGCCTCAGCTGGAGTACTGTGTCCAGTTCTGGGCGCCACATTTCAAGAAAGATGTGGAGAAATTGGAAAGGGTACAGAGAAGAGCAACAAGAATGATTAAAGGTTTAGAGAACATGACCTATGAAGCCAGGCTTCATGAACTGGGCTTGTTTAGTTTGGAAAAAAGAAGATTAAGGGGGGACATGATAGCGGTTTTCAAATATCTAAAAGGGTGTCACAAGGAGGAAGGAGAAAATTTGTTCCTCTTGGTTTCTGAGGACAGGACAAGGAGTAATGGGCTTAAAGTGCAGCAGGGGAGGTTTAGATTGGACATTAGGAAAAAATTCCTAACTGTCAGGGTGGTCAAATATTGGAATAAATTGCCAAGGGAGGTGGTGGAATCTCCCTCTCTGGAGATATTTAAGAACAGGTTAGATAGACATCTGTCAGGGATGGTGTAGACAGAGCTTGATCCTGCCTTGAGGGCGGGGGGCTGGACTCGATGACCTCTCGAGGTCCCTTCCAGTCCTATTATTCTATGATTCTATGAAAAGCATGAGTGGCGTGGAGAGGGTGCATAAAGAAAAGTTCTTCGTTAGTTCCCATAATAGAAGGACTAGAGGACACCAAATGAAATGAATGGGTAGCAGGCTTCAAACTAACAACAGAAAGTTCTTCTTCACAAAGCAAATAGTCAACCTGTGGAACTCCTTGCTGCAGGAGGCTGTGAAGGCTACAACTAGAACAGAGTTTAAAGGGAAGTGAGATCAAGTCATGGAGGTTGGGTCCATGGAGTGGTATTAGCCAGGAGGTAGAAATGGTGTCCCTGGCCTCTGTT